TTTTCTATTTTTAATAATTTAGCCATTTGCATTGAAAGAAGCTGGTCTTTATTCACGTCGTATTGATCAACGCTTACGTACATATTTAGTTATGGAACAACATGGACCAGGAAAAAGTCATGCACCCTCACAATATGATATACTAAGAGAACCAAAATATAAAACACGTTGGATAAAAACGTGGAATGCAGATAGTCCTATAGATACAAAACGTATTTTTGATGAAGTAAGACAAAAATATAAATTTGAAAATCCATATGATGAAATTTCAAAATAAGTATTTTAAGTCTTATTTACATATGTTGTGGTTTGTTAACGAACAAATAAAACACTTTTAGTTAATGTTATGAAATCCTTTTATTTTTCTTTTGAACAATTATTCTATTCTATCCCATTGATCATTGTACTGAATTTTTAGCAGATCGCAAGATACTACAAAGAAAACTTAATCAATTTTTTCGTTGGAGAGATATTTATTTTCATCAATGTCTTTTTCTTTTAACAAGTTTTCTTGTCGATGGTAATAACTAATAAGAATCTGAAAAATATTTCTCTAGTTGAAAGAATTTTCTATCAGAATTGATAGATCCAATGGCTTCATCAAAATTGCTTGAGTGAAAATCTGCAGAAAATCAAGACTCTAAAAGTAGCTTACTAGCGTCTATTCGAAACTTTTAGGAAAATATTGTATTTGATTGAGCAAGATGAGGTGTCTTCGAGCTCTCCATGACTTTCTTTTATCAAACTGCATTCAACTTGCAGAAGCCCGAAGAAGCATTGTTCTTCTCATTTTATTGAAAGTTTCAATGTTTGACGCTTTGAGACCTTCAATAAATTGAATGTAGCTCTATGAAAAAATTCAGAGAATTCAAGACATTTCGTCTTTCTCTTCATCATTTGGCCTATCCAATAAAATCTTTTCCCAAAAGTTTCGACTAGAAGCTAGTAAGCTAGCTTTGGAGGTACACATTTTTCATGGACCCTCATTCAAAGAATTTTGTTGAAATCTTCAAACCTCTCAATCATAATAGAGAATCTTTTTAGCTACACACATGTTTTTTTTATTCTTGTTCAGTATTACTATCGAGAAGGCAACTAAAAAAAATAAAACTTCTGTCAGTGTATGTTTCCCACTACATCTGTTTATTTGATCAAACAGATCTGTAATTTATTTCTGGAAAGTGGCTTTGAACTATTTATTAGGTTTTTTCTTTTATCGAATGACAGCTTATCAATTCAATAGCATCAAATGAATATATATTTTTAGATATAAAAATAGCAAAAAAGAAAAATGTCGATTGCCGAACAACCTTGTTATACATTAATAAATACCAGTCAAGATCTGGAACCACCAAGTGAAATGCAGTTACGTGAAGATCTTGAAAAAGGCAATGATAAGGTTTGTCTTTATATTTTTGTTTTTCTCTTCAATTATGTCAAAAAATTAATTTTTATTAGGCAAAAGCTGATGCATTAAGAAAATTAATTGTTATGATGCTTAATGGTGAAAAATTTCCATCATTATTAATGATTATAATTCGTTATGTTATGCCATCACAAAATCATACAATAAAAAAATTATTACTCATTTTTTGGGAAATTGTACCAAAACATACAGGCGACGGAAAACTTCTTCAAGAAATGATTCTTGTTTGCGATGCTTATCGGTAAAGTTATTTGTTCTAGATTCAACACGACTCTATAGTTTTGACTACAGAATGCAATATATATGTAGATTTTCTCTATCTAATAGTGTATAGATAATCAGGACCTACAGTGCACTATTAACATATCAATGGTTTGTAGTAGAACTTGATAATTTATATATACTATTAGATAGAGGAAATTTACAAATATTAAAGTCGTAATTTATTTTTAATTATTTTATTTATTTTTTTTTTCAGAAAAGATCTTCAACATCCAAATGAATTTATTCGTGGTTCAACACTTCGGTTTTTATGTAAACTTAAAGAACCTGAATTACTTGAACCATTAATGCCATCAATACGTGCTTGTATTGAATATCGTCATGCATATGTTCGTCGTAATGCTGTTTTAGCTATATTTACAATTTATAAAAATTTTGATTTTCTTATTCCTGATGCACCTGAATTAATTGGTAAATTTTTGGATGTTGAACAAGATATGTCATGTCGTCGTAATGCATTTATGATGCTTATACATGTTGATCAAGAACGTGCATTAAATTATTTATCAAATGTTATTGATCAAGTTAATTCATTTGGTGATATTTTACAATTAGTTATTGTTGAACTTATTTATAAAGTTTGTCATAGTAATCCAAGTGAACGTGCAAGATTTATTCGATGTATTTATAATTTATTAAATTCATCATCACAAGCTGTACGTTATGAAGCAGCTGGAACATTAATTACATTATCTAGTGCACCAACTGCTGTTCGAGCAGCAAGTGCTTGTTATATTGATTTGATTATCAAGGTAATTAATGATCAGTGTATTGAATTGTGAAATTTAATTATTTAGAAAAGAAAAATAATTTAATTAATTGTACAAAAAAAAAATGTAAATTTTTGGTTTTGAGAGATAGAAGGCCAATACTTTAGATAGTGAATGCAATTTGAGCATATAGAGTTCATAGGATAAGGTATTGACAAATAAATTGAAAGAAAGAAAGATTTTCAACTTAAATTTTTTTTTCTTCAGTTTTATTATTCGATGTTTAGCATCTTCTAATGTTTCTGATTGTTTTTGGAATCTAATCAATTTTTAAGCATAGATTATTTGTAGGAAATAATCGTGTTAACTAAAAAATTTGCGAATGTTACACATGTAAACATCATGTGAAGTGAGTCAAAGCTGACATGAGCCAAACTGTAGTCTATCAGTTCCGATTTTATATATATATTAGTAGAAGGTAACCAAAAGAGAAGATATAAATATGATTTTCAGATATATTCCTAGAAACACTAGTCTAACTAAGAATTTTGAAGTTCGAACAGTATTGTTAGACAAAGAAAAGAAAATAGTTGAATCGTAGTAATGTGTGAATTCATATTGGATTAGTTCATGTTCTAGGACTATTAATTTCTATGAAATAAGTTTTGGTTAGTTCAATTAAGAAATAGATATGTTGTCGAATAAGTACTAAAACTTAACAAATTTCCTCTTCAAACAGTTTTTTTTTATCGAATATATTTACTCAACTTTTTTCTTTAACTTTATTTTTTCTCAATATATCAGAAAGCATTCATCTAATATCAGTTCAATTTGTTTCAAATTTTGTTAACTAAAATATCAATTCTTGAGAAAAAAGTCAGACAAAAACAGTCATATTAGAGATATGAGTAGGGCTATCTTGCTCACATCTACATTTAGTTTTCTAGTTATATTCAGCTAATTAGTATATAAATATATATCTTTTTTGTTTAAAATATATAATCCATATATTGAATTCAATTATTTAATTGATTTCTTCATCTAGGAAAGTGATAATAATGTTAAATTAATTGTTCTTGATCGTTTAATTGCATTAAAAGATATAGCTGCACATGAACGTATATTACAAGAATTAGTTATGGATATTCTTCGTGTATTAGCATCACCAGATATTGAAGTACGAAAAAAAACTTTACAATTAAGTTATGATTTAGTTACATCAAAAACAATAAATGAAATGGTTTTAGTTTTAAAAAAAGAAGTTTCAAAAACACATAATGAACAAGATTCAGAAGATGTTGATAAATATAAACAATTATTAGTTCGAACATTACATCAATGTACAATGAAATTTCCAGATGTTGCAAATACAATCATTCCAGGTAAATTTCTTATTTTTGTATTCAACATAATCTAAAAGGAAATATAGAATTAGAAATTTAAATACACTTTCACAGACTGTGATAAATGTTGGTTATAGATTGTCATAGGCCATAACAGGCATTTTTGATATACGATCAAAGACCGTATATAAATAATGTCTTGTTCTAATGCATGATGCTTTTTTCTTATTGCATTCCTAGAGGATTGAATAAAAGTATAGTGAAGAAATGTGTTCCAAAATAAATAGTATAAAACAGTCTCTTTATGAATTTCTGTATAGCTACATTGTATTTTACATTTTAATCTTACAAAGATTGCACTAATAGATTCTTTTAATCTGATTTAAACATGTGTTTCTTTTTTTTTGACTTTTAGTTCTTATTGAATTTCTTGCTGATAAAAATGAATTAGCTGCACTTGATGTACTTGTTTTTATTCGTGATGTTATGCAAAAATTATCAAATTTAAAAGATCTTATTGTTCAACGTTTACTTGATATATGTGCACAAATAAGATCTGTTAAAGTTCTTCGTGCTACATTATGGTTATTAGGCGAATATTGTTCATCAATTGAAGATATACAAAATGTCATGACATTCATACGACAATCATTAGGTGATTTACCAATTGTTGATGATGAAATTCGTCGTGCTACAGGTGAAACAAAAGATGAACAAGATACATCAATGTCAGCACCAGTTCAACGTTTAGTTACAGCTGATGGTACATATGCAACACAAAGTGCATTTATATCAACAAATCCAACTGACAAAAAAACTTTAAATGGTCCATCTAGTGATCGTAATCGACAACCATCATTACGAACATTTTTATTAGATGGAGATTTTTTTATTGGTGCTGCTTTATCAACATCATTATGTAAATTAGTTATACGTTATATGATTTTAGAAAATGATTCAACTAAACAAAATCGTTTTTGTGCTGAAGCTATGTTTATAATAGCAAGTATATTACATTTAGGACGAACAAGTTTACCATCAAAACCAATGAATGAAGATGATTTTGATCGTATGTTAATGTGTGTTAGATTATTGAATGAACGTTTACCAATAACATTTCAAGTACTTGGACATGATTGTCGAACAGCACTTGCAGATATGTTAACAATTAAAGCTCAAGAACAAAAAGAAATTGAAAAGAAATTATCAAAAGACAAAGTAAGTTGAATTGTTTGTTTTTTCTTTTTTCTTCTATTTTAAAACAAAAATTATTATTTAAGACAGCAACAGTTGAACCAGATGATCCAATACGTTTTACACAATTATTAGCATCAAATGAATTTGATGAAAAAGAAGATATACTTGATTTAACACTTAAACAAGCTATTGGAACAATTGGAAAAAAAGATGAAAATATATTTAGTTCATCAAAACTTAGTAAAGTTACACAATTAACAGGTTTTAGTGATCCAGTTTATGCTGAAGCTTATGTTAATGTTAATCAATATGATATTGTTCTTGATGTACTTATTGGTAAGTTATTTTAATTTGAAATAGAAAATTAATTTTCAAAGAATAAGATAAAATAATCATTTTCTTGAAACAATTACAATCGAAATAGTTTTCATTCGAATAAAATAAAATTTTTATTTTTATTCGAATACACCAAATGAATTATGATGATTGAAAAGAAAATCTTTACAATCGTGAAAATTTCCAAGTAACCGGACACAAAAATTCTATGTCAGGCTGATGTTCTATCCAGAGCTACAATTGGTCATAGTTGTAGAGAAGATATCAGATTATTGAGTTTGCCACAAGGTAGAGTCATACCTCTTACTTTATTGCTCTTAGCTGATGACAAAATCTTATAATAACTGAAGTTAAATTATCCTTCGAAAGCAATTATACAGATATAGTATTATTATCAGATCCATCTTTGCAACTATATTGTACTAGAGATTTTTCATTGTGCTTATTTTGTATTAGTATAATATGGCTAAAGACTACACTCTCTCTCAGACAAAAAAAAAAGTTCCTTTTTCCATTTCATTTTTGCATCACTTAATACGTTGTTTTTTAAAAAAACAAAAGATACCACGAGATGCAGCGTGAACAGAGCTACAATTTACAAAGTAATGCTTATTTTAATTTTGTACTTTTTGTTTTGAAAAAAAAAGCAAAATTCTGTGCAACCAATTTTCGACGGTGCGAAAAATCATTTTTTTTTCTATGCGAATGAGAAATTCCTTTTTCCTTATGTCATCTTTTTATCAACTAATATGGTTTTGTAAAACAAAAATAAAATGTACCACAAGATGCAGCGTGGAATGCTCTACAATTTACATAGAACAGTTTATTGAAATAAGAAGAAAGAAATTTCTCATTGGTGTAGAAAAATGATCCTTTCGCAGCGTCGAAAATTGGTCACCGAATTTTGTTCTTTTTGAAAACGAAAAGTAGATAATTGAAATAAGCATTACTTTGTAAATTGTAGCTCTATTCACGCTGCATCTCGTGGTATCTTTTGTTTTTTTAAAACAACGTATTAAGTGATGCAAAAATGAAATGGAAAAAGGAACTTTTTTCTTTTTTGTCCGAGAGAGAGACTTGACTTCTAAATTTTAGCTAGAAACGGAGTGTTCTGATCAGTTTTTCAATAAAATAACATATTAATATCAAAATGTACATTTGACTTAGAATTTCGCACACATCATTGATTTATAATGAGAATATCAGCGTCTGATATCTCAGAACAAGAGATACTAGAAAATTCGATTCTTTCACAATAAACTACAAAATAGTTTTTTTTTTTGTGAAACTCAAACTCGAAAAAAAAATTTTTGACGATGGTATAAAAAGTGAGCATAATATTTTATTGACAAACTCACTAAAATGATCATCACTTTAAGAGAGAAAAGGTTATGAGCATGAATTTTTGTTTTGACTTCATCTAACTTCAAACAGAACTCATGTTAAAAATGTTTTTCACTTGACGAATTTATTTGAAAAGTCTAAATTAGACATTGAGTCAGAAATCGATTTTTACTTGAAAAGAAATAAAAGTAAATAATAATAAAAAATCCATTTTAATTAAAACTTATCGAATACTCTTCAAAATAGATTGATATAATAAGAATTTTTGTTTATTTTTCTAGTTAATCAAACATCAGATACTTTACAAAATCTCACACTTGAATTAGCTACACTTGGTGATTTAAAATTAGTGGAAAAACCACAATCAATAACAATGGCACCACATGATTTTACAAATATAAAAGCAAATATAAAAGTAACATCTACAGAAAATGGTATTATTTTTGGTAATATTGTTTATGATATAACGGGTTCTCAATCAGATCGTAATTGTGTTGTATTAAATGATATTCATATTGATATAATGGATTATATTGTACCAAGTTCATGTACAGATAATGAATTTCGTCAAATGTGGATTGAATTCGAATGGGAAAATAAAATTGTTGTTAATACAACAATACGTGATCTTCATCTTTATTTAATTTATTTATTAAAATCAACAAATATGCGTTGTTTAACACCAGAAAAAGCTTTATCGGGTGATTGTGGATTTATGGCAGCAAATCTTTATGCTAAATCAATATTTGGTGAAGATGTTTTAGCCAATGTTAGTATTGAAAAATCGGCTATACATGCTGATGCACCTGTTACTGGACATATTCGTATTCGAGCAAAAAGTCAAGGCATGGCTTTATCAATGTA